ACTCATGTACTTTACTTAAGTACAAATTTGAGGTACTACATCTCAGAGGCAAAACGACCTATACTTGTCATAATGAATTCACTGAAAAATTATTATAGCAGTGATGTTAACGGGAGATGTATGTATTTATGTATTAGGTAGCATTAATTAAAACATATTATCCCAATGATTGGATTTAAAATGTATTGTCTTTTATTGCAAACAACAAAATTATCTAGAAATGAATTTACCCAGAAGTTACACAAAACAAAACTCATGAAAGTGAAACATAAGGCATACAGCAAACATTAACTGACATCTTCTGTGAGATCTTCTATGTATGTGCTGCTCCACATCATACCACATTTACAACTTAAACTTAAAAAGCAAATCTTCTATAGAGTATAAAATATTTGGAGTTGGTCTGAGTAAATGTGAATACAAAAATAGAATATATATTTAAATTATTACTGGTAGAACAGGGGCCCAAGTGGGGTTGCTTACAAACAGATATACAAACCTATATCAGTCTGAAAATAGTGATTGGATTGATTTAAGTAAGTTTTTAAAATACAGTCATTATAAGCATGAAATAAATTCATTCATTTCTACCACATTTTTGTTGTGAATCATTATTTACAAGTCATCTATATATAGATAGATAGATATAGATATAGATAGATATAGATATATATTTAAATTAAGTACACACATATTAAGTACTAAGTATTAAGTACACACATATAATTAACTTCTCTTCAGAATATAATAATATAGTATAAAAACACTTCCAAATATATATTAAAAAAATCAGAAATGTGTGATTATTTTGTACCAACTGAATTATAGAAAAACATCCATTAGGAGCTGTTCTGAGCAGTAAAGGAAAATACCAAGGGTTCTATCTCCATGATTAAGATCTAATCTATCAACAAACCTTTTTAACCGTAAACTATTTATTCATGTATACAATTTCCTCCTCACAAAGAAAAGGTAGCTGAAATAAACAGTTTTCATCACTCCACTTGAAGTTGTTTTTGATGACACCACAGTGGTTAGACAAGGGAAGCTCAGGTTGTGTGCCGTTCTCCCAGTTGTTGTTGGTCACTATCCTGTCACTCGTCCAAATCCAGAATCCAAAAACTTGACTCTGCCTCAGACCAATCCAGAATGGACCAGTAACATCAGTGTGATTTAGCCACTGTTGGACAGCCTTCTCATCTTTTGAATCCTGAATCCACAGCAGGCCTGTGTGGTGAGCTTTGCAATAGTCATAGGCCTCTTCCCAATTCAAACGTTGTTTAATGACTTTGATTCTCACCTTACCTGACATGAAACCAGGGAGAAGACAGAGGTAAGATTTACAGGTAGTAGCACCACATGCCCATCAACAATCTGTCCATTAAGTTGGCGTTTTTGGTGTTTTGATAATTATACTCTTGTGTGGAGTTCCCTTTCTATTCAGTCTTTCACTGTAACAAGTGACACATTGGTTTGCACCTCACAACCTTTAAAAATACTATAAATTGTCCTGGCAGCTGAGTCTCTTAGCTCTGAGATGGGCTGGTAACATGTCCAAGGTGCAAATTAAAAAGTATATATACTGTGAGTCCAACTTTTTACATCTATTAATTTATAATGTATATGTGTTGTATCATAGTGTAATTTAATCTATATATTCTTTAGCCATTCATGTTCCTAAAATGTCCCTTTTGTCTTCTCACTTTGTACAATTTGCAGTACTGTTACTGTGTTTAAAACAACCAAAGTTATTGTCTGTAAAAAGAAGATGGTCACATGATATTGAAATAGTGACTCTGTGGGTGGATTTCTTTAGTTTACATCCAAGTGTGTTTTATTTGAAAATAAATCTAAAAGTCTTAATGCCCCAGTATTAAAACAAATCTCTCCTGTCATAGCGTCATGCTCATGGAATGATCTACTGCACTTATTGACCTCTCTACCATGTATACAGTACAGTATACATATGTACTGTATATGATGTGTTACATGTGAATTCAATTCAATTGTGGAGTTTAGATTACAGATAGGTTTGATATGTTAGACGATTTGTTTGTAGTATATTTATTTGCTTTACATATTTATCACTTACCTTGGGAGCAAAGGGAATTCCGGGTTTGCCCATTACATTCAGAACTCGACAACGTAATATTCACACTGTATCCATCATAAAATGTGCATTCTGCCATATCTTTCGGCTGTTTTTCAGTCCATTTTCTGAATGAAGAGCAGCTTTTGTCCACCCACTCCCATTCATCATGCATGAGTCCAATCCAAAAGCTTTTGTTTCTTCCCATTTCAATCACTGCCTCATTTTGTGTTTCATTTGCGATGCTGACCAAGTCAGTGTTGTCATTTCTGCAGTATTGCAGAGCCTGACACCAGTTCTTCTCTCTTTCAATCATGGTGTAATTAGTACCTGTAAAACATAAACAGATACAGATATAGTAGCTCTTGTACCTCCTTTCACAAAGGAGGTGGGAAAGTTAGTACTCCAAACTTTCTGTGGATTTGTTTGATGACATCTATGCTTGTTTCAAAAGCATAAAGAGTAGAGGGATACACAATTCGAATTGGAAAGTGAAAAAACAAAACAAACAACGCTCTAATATTTTGCCTCATTTTAACTCAATTCAATTTGGGAGTCTGACAACACTGTCCTTGCTGACGTCAGCAGCTCTGAGGGCTCTAGATTATGCTTCAGCTTAACTCAAAAATCTACTATCAAACCTAGAACCATTTTTTTGCTGTGTACAGGATGAATGCTTGTGTGTGTTAAGGTGTCGCTGTTGTGTAGACTATATTTACACACTAAATGCACCTGTTAAGTTTATTATAATGTTTCATTGTGTTGTAATGTGTACAATAAAAAGACATTTAATACATGCTGCCTCTGTTTGGTTTGTGTCTGTTTGTTGAGACTTTTAGCTCACTCAGAAAAAAAAGAGAAGCAAATGATGTGTTCAATTAAAATGGGAACGAGTGATTTCTTTATGTTTCTTAAATGCTCAGATATGTTGCGCAGCTGCACTAGAAACTTTACTTATGGCACCTGGTAATCATTTCACCCAGACCATCATCAGGAGCACACAGCCCGTTGGTATGTAACTGCTAACTACTCACGCAGCCTACTGAACGTTTACTTTCACTGTGTCGCGTGTTAGTTTGGCCGAGCAGTAACCTTGTAGCTCGCAAGGTTTGAGGGCAGATTTGCCACATTTTTGATGGTGTTGCAGGCTTCTTTGATTTCATTATTTATTATTATTATATTATATTATTTAAATAATATATTTACATGGTATATTTGAATAATATATTGTCATTATTTGTTTGTTGTATTTCAGGTCATTTGATTTAAAATAAAAGACAAACACGAGTCATAACATTGTGTGCTTCCTGGTAAGCCTTTTCGGAGGGCTAAATAATGGAAAAATCCGAACAATAATAATCATTTCTAATAAACCATGAACCCTAACTTTACCTTCCAAAAAAAAAATTTAAAACATAAAAGCTACATAACATCAGCTTATTCATTTTGAGCATTTAGCAAAGAAATCTAATATGATGAAACTTACCATTGTAGCACATGAAAGGTTTCTTCTCTGAACAACTGAAATTGCTCCATTTCTGTCCGTCAATAGCTACACATATTTGCTCCCCATGTGTTACATTCACAGAAATATTCTTGAATAGGTAAGGGGTACCGTCTGACCAAGTGATATTTCTCCTCTTACGCAGACCAAGCCAGCTCAACTTTGCGATTGTGAAATTGGCTGTGAATTTGGCGTCCTCTTCATCATACAGAGTTACAAATGTTTCATTTGTCTTATTACATTCAGACAACGAAGCATTCCAATAAATGCTTTGACTATCAGACCTGAAAAATCTCAGACGGTTTGATGCACATGTAAAGTGAAAAAAACCTGTCAAAAGAAAGACAAAACAATAGTTTATCCTTCACTTAATGTTTATGGCTTCTTAAAACAACAACCAACATTATGTGCTGTTGAAATTAAGTTCACTCAGTTAAAATACAATGTATGTTGCACACAAGCTGCAACATATCCCTACACTGATGCATACAGAAAATCATTTGTACACAGTTGTTGCATGTTATAAAAGTACGACTAGTGGAGGCGGCATGTAGACATACCTATGTACATACTGTAGATGTATTATTCAAAACTACTGATGACAAAAGAAGTATATCAGAATGAGACCGAGAAAGGGACCCTTACCTGAGCACAGAAAGAACAACACAAGTGTCATCTTCACAGTTATAGTGGCGTTCATCAGGAGAAAAGACTAAATCAGAAGCACAGAGATACCAAATTAAATTAAGTAATTATTTATAATAAAGGTAGGAGTGCTAATCAGAGGGTTTATCAGGAGAATTATCAAGATGTTGTAGTTTAAAAAATGTTCCCTCTCTTTTGTTGGGTAACTGGTACATACCCATACTGTGTATACCGGGTTTTACTGTCCACTGTAATTTAATACATGCTAACTATTGGAATAAATTACATTCATTCTTTTGCTCTTGATTTTAAGGTCTCTTACCTGCTGAGGTCAGGCGCTGAGTGCAGTCAGTCTGGAAAATTTGTTTCAGTGTTAGGAGGTCACAGGTTTTATATCCAGTACCTGGGTGATGTACGCCAGCAAAAAGCACCAGGTTTTTTTGTTCATGTGTACATAGTTAAAACAGAGATGGCAATATATTAATGATTAACTAAAGGTAGTCAAATGTAAATAAATGACAGTCACGTTGCATTTGGGTAAACGTCATCTCTTGTGTAGCATATCAACTGAGAAAAACTCTTCAAATTTCTCCGTATAGTACACAAAACAGCTCTAACAGCAAAAATGCAACAGCTTTAATAATAACTAATAGGAAAATTGCACTTTACTTTATTCAGAGGGTTGCAATCCATACTGTATATTTGTAACTAACTAATATATATATATATATATATATATATATGTAAACCAACAGTCAATGTAATGTGCCACAAATGGTAAACAGAACATGGTTGTTCAATGGTGTGTTTACACAATGAAAATGTAAAACCAGTCAACACAATTCAAATACATACATTCAGATATATTTAAGACAGAGACTTCTAAAGCACTGACCTCTTCAAATAACCTGTGGGTAGGCCTTGAAAATGTACAATGTTTTATAATATAGAATAAAATATGTCATGTAAATTGAATTTATAATGTATATGCCTATTTGGAGGACTAGTAATATTTCAAGTGCTATACTATATTCCTATTTGCCGTACATTTGTACAGCTACTGCCAGAAGAAGAAATTTTTTTACCTCAAAAATTATTTGGTCGTGCAAACTGGTCTGCAGGGCCTTTTCTTGATTTTTGCTTGGGGCCTTTTGAATCAGTAAAACTGCCCCTGCGCAATGAGACATGTTCTCTCATTATCGCACACACCTGACTGATGCTGTCTGACTCCTAAAGACCCCCACAACTCCCAAACAGTGGGTTGACCTCCTCATTATTCACAACTAAGTATTGGCATGTCCCAATGGCAACCTCTAATGCTTTGATAATACTCTGGTCACTGGTCATTGCAGGCCTGATAAATATATATATATATATATACACACTGACTGGTGAAGTGAATAATATTGATTATGTGATTATGTGCTTATCATGGCACCTATTATTGGGTGGAATATATTAGGCAGCAAGTGAACATTTTTTCCTCAAAGTTGATATAATAGAAGCAGGAAAAATGGGCAGCGTGAGGATTTGAGCGACTTTGACAAGGGGCCAAATTGTGATAGCTAGACGACTGGGTCAGAGCATCTCCAAAACTGCAAGCTCTTGTGGGGTGTTCCCCAGTCTGCAGTGGTCAGTACCTGATCAAAAAGTACTCCAGGGACGGAAAAGTGGTGAACCAGAGACAGGGTCATGTGCGGCCAAGGCTAACTGACGAACATGGGGAGTGAAGGTTGGCCCGTATGGTCCGATCCATATATATATATGTGCGTTTGTCAGCGTGAAAATGCATCGTACTAAGCAGCTCTATTCTGTGTAGAGAATATCAGAATATAGTGTTAAACAAAATCTCCTCCCATCTCTGTCTCAGGTTTGAGATACTGTAGCAGGTCAGAGTGTGCGCCCAGAATCTTACATTTGTAGACACAGTAGCTGAGCCTCTCCAACTTAGTTACACATCACTTGATGTATAGTGGGGTGAGATGTTGGAGTGGACCTCATAAAGTGTCATAGAGTGTGTGTTAATTGAGCAATTTACTGACATTTTCTTTTTCTGTGTTTCCAACTGTGCAAGGTATATCTTGAAATTGTACCTCTGCAGTGTGTAGACATTGATACAAAGACTTTTCATCCATCTAAGGTGTGTCCATTAGCTTTGTATGAGCATGCTATAGTATAGAGTATAATTTTGGTCTATGTGTAATGGCCTATTTGTCATAGCTGTCTTCTATGAATAGAGTAACTAGGTTTCTCATGTTTTTTACTCAAAAAATGTCTAAATACAGAACAATATGTACAGCATATCAAACCATGCAGTGGTGTAGCAAAGTTACAGAACCATCAGAAATACTGTTGTTATACTATGATCTGTGTATTCAAATCATGGCACCTGGAGTGGAGCCACCAGGCACATAGGTGTCAATGAATAGCCTTGTGTATCAGGAGATGATATGCAAATTCATCCAGAAATTTGTTTTTGGTGAATATTTACCTTTTGACTTTGTATATTGGCTTACTGGGTGATTTTTAAAGGTCACCGTAATGTTATTTCCCTATTTGAGATCTGTGAAGTCATTTTCAGGTGCCATTTCATTCTTTTACTTCTCCAACCCAAAGGTCTCCAACCCAAAACTTCATTAATTGCAGCTTTTCATTTCTCTGTTCAGACTACTACACCAGCTGTCAGTGTTATTTAAGTCTTTAAATTTGTATCTGTTTTATGTCATCATAAGATTAAGATGAACTGTGTGTAGGCTAATATGTCTGTGATGTATCCCTGTAATAAAGTTGGTAGTGTGTAGTTTAGTGAGTGCAACGGACTGTAATTCTAAATAGGGACACTGTACCTGCAAATTAACTGTTTTGAAAGACAATAGTTGCATACATACGAATAATAAAGTGTACAGTACATTAAGCGTGATTTACAATGCAATTAAGATTCCTTTTTTCTCCTCTGAGCAAAAGAAAACACCACTTGCAGATTTAAAACATAACCAAACTTTAAAGAGAAGTATGTTTCTCAGTTTACGTCTGTATATTTGGACAGCAGCACAGCCACATTACCAGGGGTCATGAATAGAGTTATACTTGTTCATCTGCACGTAGTCTCACATTTGAATTTCAAATAGAATTACTGTAGGCTGGAGAGAGCTAGACATATTTGCATGTCCAGTTCTCTCTCCAGTTTATAGCAAACAATGACGTTGTTTATGTTTGAGCTGTTCACAAAAGGGTGACTAATGGTTGCAGGGGAGAAAGGGGTGCTATTAAAAATATATGTAGGAGCACACACTCCAATCCTGAAAATGATATTAAACAGACATATAACAGCAACACATACTTGTTCATATTGTAGAGGTTATTGTTCAGGGACAGGCAGAAGTGGGACAAAAAGTAAGTTTGTACAAGCTGATGGTTAGAGGTATGGATACAAACAATTCAAATAATTACTTATTACACTTTCAGATAAATGTACCCATTAAAAAGCCTAAAAAGTAAGTGAAATAAAACCACAGACATTGCTTATCATATGTGACTATCATGTTAAATTGCTCCTCTGTACTCTGTACCCTGTTAATAGCACATATGCAGTCTGAAAACCTGAATATGATGACATCTGTATTTAACCCCC